TTCAAGAAACATATAGAAATGAAACATTGTTTAAAGTTCATTCAGAACCTAGCCAATATTGGAAACAAAACCTACTTTTGTTTCTGCAGACGATGGAACTACAATGAGATGGGGTCATAAAGCTAATCGGATAGGTGGTTCATAAACTTACAACCTCAAATTCCAAGAAGTTGTAGACGCAATGGAAGTCGAATTGTGAACAAATAGTAGCGTATTTCGGCGCGCTTTAATGGCCATTGGACAATCCGGGGAAAAGTATAATATCAGTAAGTATTCTTTACATCCTTACTTAAACTCTTGGCTGTCTGTACACAAATGACAACTGAGATGTTAAAGTGTCTGAGCTTCTTAAGAATTCGACACATGTCTTGTTCTCTATTCTTTAACAAAGGATGAGAAGCAAATCATCTAAGATAAGAAGACATCTATGAGGGTAAGTCTTCCAATCGTAAGATTGCAATTTCTTCGAAATGTATTCTATCTCTTTCTGTTTGTTTCTGAAGTGTTTCTTCTCTAATATTCTCTGCATTTCCTCATTTGGGTCTTTAAACTTCGAATTTATATACTCATTTATAGCATTGTACTTCAAAACTCTTCTTTGGTACTTCTTTATCCAATCTAACAACTCAGAGTCTTTATACATACTAACTTAGACTTTTTATAATATCTTTGAACGAATTGACGGTTTGGTCAAATTGACCAGAAGTACTACAAATAACAACTAACTCATAGAATGGGTTCTTCTCATCTAGTTCTTGTTGTTGTGCAGCCATTTTAAGATAAGTGAAAGTCTTACCCGACCCAGGTGGTGCAATTAGACCTGTTATACCATTCTGAGCAAATAAGAACTTGTCATGTATAGGCTTTATCTGAGCATTTTCTAACTTCCTCTTGTTCTTGTTTAAAACATTCTCAAATTTCTTGTCAATGTCAGCAAACTTTTTTTCTAACATATTTTTAGAAAAATTAAAATTTTTATCTTTTAGAAAATGTCTAGCGATTTCGCTATCTATATTCGAGACAAGCTTTTCGACAGCAAAACATCTGTCGACCATAAAATCTTACATAGTGTAAACAAGAAAGGTGAATTTGTTCTAAAGTTCTGTTTCTGGGAATATGACAAGAACCATAAAACATTACAGAGCAGTCTTAAAATTTGTCAATGACAGACTTGTTGACAGAGATGACGCCGATTGGAAAGATGAAGTCCAACAAAAGTTCTTAGAATGCAAAGAAGACACATGCGCTGTTCTTGAAGATGAAATAGAAAACAGAATAGAAGAGCTATTAAAGGACAAAGAACTTTTACAAAATATGGTTGCGAAATTTGACATAACTCCACCAGAAAAAAGAAGAGAGAAAAGAAAGAAAAGAAAGAGAAGAGAAGAGAAGAAAGAACCTGAACCAGTTCCAGAGAAAGAAATTTGACATGTAAAAATAAAATTTTATTTTTAGAACATTTCTGGGTCAATGTCAATGTTCTCTTCCTCTTTAGGAGCAAACACTGGCTTAGACTCTAAAATCTTTTTACCCAATTTACCTTGAACTTCAACTATCTTAGACTCATAATATTCATAGTCGTCTGCTTTCTTTGGTTCATAAGGTATAACAAGTTTGTATGCTTTGCCTTCTTTAAGGTTTGAAACCTTCTGTCAAAACTTTCTTTGACTGTTAACAAACCTTCTATGTCTAAGTCTTCAAATTTCGCACCATTTTTAGTCACAATAGCAAACTTAACTGGTTCGATGTTCCAAACTTTGTGAA